TTAGTCATGGAACTAATGACCAGACATACAGTATGTAGGCAATGTGTGTGAGTTTATGGTGTCCTTTTAGAGGCATCCTTTCCTCCTGGGAGAAAAGAATCAAGGCAAGCTGCTGTCCCTCAGGGTATAAATAAGATCACAGACAAAATTCAAACCTCCCTATTTACCCTTGCTTACTCAGTGCCCAACATAGCTCAAGTATCGGCCAAGCAGACAAGGCCTTCATCTCTGCTCACAAGGGTTTATTGCTGTACATTTATCAGATCTATACATCAGCATTCGGTGTGCACATATACCATTTGTTTTGATACGATGAGGCAGGAAACACTTTCTTCCCATGCATAGGTAGATTAGCTGTCTTCAGAAATTCCAAAACCTGATGCTGAGAACTTGCTTGTGTGTGACCTGTGCTGAAACAGAAGTTTCCACACACAAGACATTTATTCTTCTTTACCACAAACTATGTTTTGCATTCAAGACTTGCAGAGAAAAGGGACATTATTCTCACGGGCTATGCCTGGTTAGAGACTTGTAAATGATTTCTTCACTTGAGAGAAGAATAGTTTTTACATCCCAGATTTCGGACACTGGAGAAGAATTCAGATAGTACATGAACCAGATGCAGTTTTCTGGGTGCTGTGCTGGGTGCACTGGAGTCAAGTAACAGAGCCACAGCAGTCAGAATGTGGAAACTGATGGGAGTTCTTGCCTAGAGAACACGCTGGTAAACAGCAACCACAGCCAGCCCCAGAACCAACTTATTGTCTAATCCACTAGTATTATGGGTTTTTATGTACAGATTATTGATTTTAGGCTACAGTGTCAGAGACAGCAATGTTCTGTGCACGTGACCTCATAGGTCATAAACCAAGTGCAATTACACAGGCACTACTTACCAGTATTTTAATCAGTGTTTGTTAATTGTTGTTATTATCTCTCACAAGAGATTAGTGCCATTGCTGTCTGTAGGCTGTGATTTACAGTAGTGTATTCATCTGAAAATACTGGATTTGTTAAGCTCCTCAGATAATACAAAAACAAGTCAAGTAATACTTACAGATACCCAAAGGACTTAAAGAAAATGTTTTTCTTTCCTCAAGATGTATTATTTTATTACGTTCCAACCATCCACTGGCCAACAGGCCAAGTGGTCTCTCATTGGGAGACACATACTAAAATGAGAAAAATATGAAGGAATTTCTATGAATTAATATTAGTGGTATGATCATCTTAGTGTGTCTGAAGTGTTCAGTAACAATACGTACACCGCTTGACTCTTCTTGCTTAAAAGTCAGGGTTTTTCTCCCAGAACCTCACATCAAGTCTGTGAAAGTCTTCTTCCTTGAAGTTATTCAGATAGAAAAACTGTTTGCTATTTGTTTTGACTATATAAACCATGTACATTGTTAGAGATTGTAAGAGGCCTTAAAACCAGTTGCTAAGTTTTCCAATAAATAATAAATTATTGTTGTATGAATTTATTAAAGATTACTTAGCCCTTCAGAAGAAGATTGTAATCATGCTTTTCAAGCTTTTTTCTTTAATAGAGTAGACTTAGAAAAACCTTTTTATGCTTATACTGGTTAATTTTTACTTTGATATTTTTCACCAGTAAAAAGCCCACCCCTTTGTTTACCTTTATTTCCTTGTGGTTTGGTGGGGTTTGACACTTTCAGGCCTCTATCAAAGGAGATCAAGGCACATTTCCTTGCATGTGCCTGCTACTCCTATCCTCCACTGAAGCCCATATATAGAAACTCCATAGGGATCCAGGAGGTTATGATGGGAGAAAGCCAGGAAATATGGGATAGTGAAATGCAGGGGCTACAGAACGAGCTGGTCCAAGGCCTCTCTGAATTGAATTTTGCTGCTTTCCAGGACGTGGGGCCAAGGTCATTCCTAGTACAGACACAGCCAGGGGAAGGGCTGGGGCAGGAAGTTTCCATGGGTACACACCTGCTGTTTGAACCAGCAGCGAATAATAAAGGCAAGAGCCCTGGAGCTCCTACACCCTGCTTTCCCATCCACTAAAGAGCATGGAGGCAGCAACCACAGCTGTTGAGAGCTTCATTCCTCTCATAGCTCTCAGTGAACCCCTTTCCTTGGGAGTAGCTGGCTCCGCAGTCCCAGAGCCCCATGGGATCCAGCCTCTGCCCCAGCTCAGCACAGCATCCTTTCAGCACCAGGGTTTAGGCCACATCAGACAGTTCAGCTACAGAGGTTCTGCTGTCCTGGGGCTGACCACTGCAGAGGTAGTTGCCTGCTTTTTCCTGGCCTTTGAGAGCAAGCAGATCCACCCAAAGTATGGGGTAAATACAAGCTACTGCAGTCTTAAATAAAAACAGAAACCTCCACAGTAAGCTGGATGCAACACACCATCTCCAGTGTTTGCTGGACCAGTGGTGTGTGTTAGGTAAGTAGCTGCATAGGGAAACAGGAGCTTGGCCTCTGGGATAGGACAGATGAGGCAAGGAAAATATGTTTTCCACCTGCCAAAAAGACTAAGGCTAAAGCTTTGCCAGTTGGACTGCTCCTTGCAAGTTGCTGGACAAGCTCAATTCCCATTAATGTCAGTGGGATTTCTGTGGGAGTTTAGCAACTGGCGCACTGTAAGCCGTTACAGGGGGATGACAGGGGAACATATTAATGCAAATGCATGTGAGGCTGAAGCCATCCATGGTCTCTATTAAGTAATGCATTCAGGTGATGCTTCCCAGACAGTAACAGCTGTATTAGAACAGATTAGTCCTCACCCTGACTGCTGGCTTTCTGCTTTATAGATGTGGCAGTGCTATTAGTCAAAACATATTCTCCCCAAGTCTGAAATGGTATTTGTTGCTGCTTCTCTTTTCCTTTGTCCTTTTTTCAATTTAAATTCAACTTATGTATATTTATCTAGATAACATCCTGTTTATATATAAATGTACTTCTCAATTTTCACTTCCTCTAAAGCTGTCAATAAGACACTTTAGAACTACTCTGTGGCACTGATAAGCTTTTCACTTATCCATATTTTCTCTTATATAAAGCAAGGGAGGTGTTGGTCTGTTCTCTCAGAGAGGGCACTGATGAGAGCAGCAGGTTCACATGCTGTTCCCTAAAGGAACCCAGCTGGACTGAACAGCATTGTACATGTTGGCCACTAGATCTATTCTGTCCTCAGCTTCCTGCTAAAACAAATTTGTTTTGATTGTTCCACATAGTAAACAGTCGTTGATCGATGTAATGCTGAATGGTGCTGGTGGCCGATTCATCACTCTTGGCTTGACTACTGCACAGTGTAAGGAGTAAAAGGGAAGTGCTAACGACTAGGAAAAAATAGCCAACAATGGAAGAAACATGGAAAGGAAGAAAAGGGAATCTAGCAGCCACCATATGGATACAGAGCATTGAGAGAAGAGTCACTAATGTTTCTTCCAAATCTAAGATGATGCTGATTTATTCAGCACGACACTTAGAATTTGAAAATGAAATGCATAAATGCTGTGCAGCAGAAATTAGCCAAGAGGCAACATCTTAATATAGAGTGCAGTAGTGCATGGAGCACTTCTGATAGTGGAGGAACCTGGGCTCCTACACAGTCATTCCCAAAGAATGTTAAAAATATTTGTGGGAGAGAACAAGCTCATGAAATTGATTTTGTGAGCTGCTGTCTATTTATTTAAAACAAAAATGATCTTACAGCAGTTCTATGTGTTTTTTCATATCAATGCTAAGCTTATCTTATAAACACATCTTCAGAATGTAAAGTAAGTTAAACACATCCATTATAAAACTCGGATGCAAAGAGAATGTGGCTTGGATGCTTACAGGCATGCAGAGAGATATCCTGTCTTATTCTTTTTTGTACTGTGATACAGTTGTAGCCTAATCTGATATCTAGGGCTTTGAAGGATCTATTGTAAGCACGTCAAAGACTTAGAATTTGTTTTTGGCAATATTAGATCACAAAAACTGAGGAATGAGTCCCACCAACTTTCATTAAACAGTGTATGCCATTATTGCTTTTCCTGGTTTGGAGTTGAAATTAAACTAGCATAATAACACTTTGCATATTTATTCTTTCAATGAGAAAAAAATAATCTTAATTGTCATGTCTATAGAAATGTGCATTTAAAGTGCAGCTTAGAAACTAACTAGTCACTGCTGTGTGCTGCTTGGGCAGTCAAAGAGAAGAATGTGCCTTGCACAAGATCCTGATGTCCATGATGGAGCTTCAGTGTGACAGAAGTGCTGTCCTGTGACCAGCACCTTATCTCCTCAGTGACCTGGGAAGTCCAGAACTAACAAGCTATGGTACAAGACTTCCACTTGGCAGTTTTATACATGGGAAGAGAGCATTTCCACAGCAAGGAGTAACTTGCCTAGCAGCCCTTCAGGCTAACACCCACTGGTTCCGAGAGATAAGGGAGGGAAGTGCCACAACTAAAGGGCAATCCACGGAGTATGGCGGTGAAGGCTGCGTGACTGGGGGCTAGAAGCAGTTGAGCCTGAACTTGGAGTCCAGATCAAAACCCTACATGAGCCTAAGGCTGGGACAAAGATTCAGAAGTCAGAAGATATCAAATCAGCAGCTTGTCATAAGAAAGAGGACAGAAAGAAAGAATGGGCAGAAAACCCTCTGCCCCCTTGGCCCCTAGACTTTGTTTCAGGAAGTCATGGTCATTCTGACACTTGTCAGCCATCACCCCAGCAAGAGTCCAAACTGTCCTTCAGTCTCTTTCCTCAAAAACGTGACAATGTTCACTTGCTCTCAGTTATTCTTTCAGTGTCTCATGGTGCCAACTTCAGTGCTCTCATGTAGAAGGTCTTGCCTTTCTGAAGACCATCTGGGTAGCAGAACACTCCCAATGGACAGTGGAACTCCTGCTCTTTAGCATCTTTTTTTAAAAGTCTGGGAAATAAGTACTTTTTTCATACTAATTAGTACTAATACTGTTCCAACTAGGAAAGGTAGAATAGTGAGGTTGAGAAATGAAGCACTCAAAAACTGCAAAGTGTCACGATTAAGAGTTACCCAGCGATTTGATTTAATCCCGTTATGTGTATTCATTAGAGTACTTTACAAACAAGTATGAGTCCAACTTTATTTATGCTGGCAGTGCTTCAATGGAAATATTTGTGTGAAGCTGTTCATTTCCACAGTGCTCAGTACCATAAACAGTCATCACAACAGCAGTACTTGCCAGGTATTTTAGCTTCATTTTACAGATGGGACAAACTTATTTATAGCCAAGTGGCAAGCGCAGCTGGTAAGGGGTTTAGATGTTTGGGTATCTTGGTGCCTTTTCCTTGATTCAGATGAGGATTCCTTCTGAGCCAGGGCAGTACATAAAATACACAGGGTGGAGATGAAATCCTGTCTCTACAGAAATTAATATAAATGAGACATTATGGTGCAAATACATATCCTTAAGGTCTAAGTTATTCTGTTCACCAAACCAAATTGCTAACAAATTGGCAAACTAACAAATATCAGCATTTATGAAAATTAAATCCATATGTTCTTCAAATGCATGTATCATCAACTACTTCCAGATGTAAAAATCCATGGATAGTTTTAAAGAACCTCAGTTCCACAGTCAGTTTCCATCATGACGCTCAAAATTAGCACTGTTCACAAGCGATGTACGACAATATTTAGTCTCTTCAGGAAACAATACTTGTTGCTTTCCTTAGAGCTAGGTATCCTGTAACCACATCTGAAGGGAGCATCCGAATATAAGCAAATTCTTCGATAGTACTGAACCTTAGCTTGCTCTGGGGATCTGTGTAATTTGCCTGAAAAACAAACAATGGTAGAGACACTATTCAAATAAAATTTCAAATCATAATAGTAAAAAAGTGTCTTAATTACAAGACCACAAAATAGTGAGTTTCTGTTCCCAGTAACAGCACTGCTGTTCTACCACGTGACCAAAAGTTTGTCTCTTTTTCTTTCTCCTTATGTCAGAACTTATGAAACGTTAACAGACCCCTATAAAATCACATTAGAAATGCATTAAACATAACAGAGGGCCGAAATAAGTTACATACAAAACACAGCGCAAAAGAAATTCCTCAGTTCTAAACTCACCCTAGCAACTCTGTGCCTTGTGCAGTCTCTCGCAAGGCAGCTCTCCAAGCAGTCAGGCTGCTGCCAATAAATTACCCACAAAGAGGCTGAATTATGGGCGCTCTCATAGCTTTGGACTGCTTTTCTCTTGCTGCATACAACTTAGCTTTTAATTTACTTTAAAGTGGTTGTTAAAGCTAGGGAGTCTCAGCTTATGGTTCTGTGCCTGAACCGATAAGAAATTTGAACTCAGCACTGTGTTTTGCTACAGATGCCTGCTTTTAGGATAACAGTCTGGCCAGCTCACCCTGGGCTATGCTTGTATCCCCAGCTATATTTGGACCCTGGATGCCTGGGAGTGGTGCCAGTTTCCTTCTATCCTCTCCCCTTCCTTGTTGCTACAGAAACCTGGAGCTCGGATGAGCTCAGGGGTAGGCCAGGAGGCTGTGCTGGGAGAAGGCAGGCTTCAGGGTATTGCCTCCCCACCTTCAGTCTCCAGGACAATCATTGCCTGTTCAGCAATGGATTACCAAGCATCTCCCAAAACTTTGAAAGTGTTTTCCATACCGCTCTTTAACACGAGATGGTGGCAGGCTGCAAGGCACAGGCAGTTGAGATCCCCTAAGACATTGCTACTAAAAATAGAAAAGGTCAGGAAGAGCTGGAGTATTCTCCCCCTCCATACTGTCATAGTGCAGAGGCCTCTACCATTTTTATGTTGGGAAGCACCTGTTGACTATGGTAACAACCCAGTTAATCGTTTGGTGTGATATGACTCAGAAAATTTAGTGTTATTTGCAGCTTGTTTCTTTACAAAGAAATGCCACCAGGTTAATTAAATGTAGTCAGCTAACAGTCAAGTCATCAATTAATTTTCAAACATAGAACATTAGGAATAAATTTATCAGTGGTGGTAACTTCATGGTTACAGCAGGTCTAAATTTATTTTTATTTCAAACTTTACCTCTGGCCTCATGTAAGAAAAGGCTAACCATTTAGACAGCTTTTCAAATGTGCATGATTCAGTAATAAACTAGTCAAGCAATATCTGCGATTTGTATTATGCACCAATCTAGGTTAAAAATACTATGGCAATTCTCCACCATTCTGATACTTTGTATTGGGGCACTGTTTGCAGACACTAATGTATGATAACTCATTTATGCCATGACTTCAGTCTGAAAACAAACTTTACCAATACTTCAGCAATAATTAAATAGATTAGAAGAGTAAAGCAAGATGATTTTGCAAAGAAAAAACTCTGTCATGTTTAAAAAACTAAGTCAAAGGCCAGAGAGACATACTCTTAAAACACAATAAACTAGTTATCTCAATCTGTTTCTATAGTAACAGGGCTCATCCATTTTCAGAAAAGGAAGAGAAATATAAACATTTGAAGTTTTGGTGGTTTTTTTTTAATCTTCTTTACAATAAATTACTCTGTTTTGCATGTTAAAATATCTAAATACATATCTTGCAAGTTTGGAAATAATAGGTTTATTTTCCAGTGTCAATATAGTAAATAATAGCTTTTGAATTCTAAGCTGCCTTACAAAAATATATAGGCTGTTCTGCTGAGAACATTGGTAAATTTAATTCCATTTGTGTTACACACAGAGACAGAAGAGGATCAGCAGAATTTAATTGTGGCATTTAATACAAGTGCAAGTATACTGATTGAGAGTGTTTTAATATATTTCTCTTTTTGTACCTGCTTGACCATTTAATTCTTCCCTAAATGGGTAATGCTAAGGAATTTGTTTTCTCTTTTTTTTCCCCACGGGGAATCCAGCATTTCCATAGAAAATATATTCTTACACAAATGCTTTTAGATTTTACACGGAAGATACAGGGGCATTTTTCTAATACTAGATTTCTAAAATATTCTATTGTCCTACATATCTTTCCACTAGGAAATGATCTTGAAAGTGTATTTAGCGCTTCTTATGAAACATTTCTAGACTAGCAATTTAAAGGACACACTGTCTCGGTTATTTTAATAAAAAAGATTTTTTTAAACACAGTAATTTTATCATAGTCTGGAGAACCTTGCAGGCCAGGTAAAATAGGAAACTTGACTCACAATGCAATTAGAGGATGGAAAATTAAGGAAAAAAAAAGTGGAAATAGAGGAGAAGAAAACAAAAGAAGCACTGAATGGATTTGTATAGAGAGTATTTATACTGAGCTAGAATACTTAGAGCACATAAATCACTGATGGAAAGCGGGAGATGGTAAAGAAAGCTGGGGAACTGAGAGAATGATTTATTTCCTATGACTAAACTGACCCTTAACCGGTAGGGATGTGGTCTCCACTCACATTTACATCCTGCATCATCACCTTGCTATAGGTGCGACTGACTAGTTTTGAAATGCATCAAAGGTCAGCGCTGGAAAGTATTATATCTCCTTGGAGATGGGCCAGTGAAAGGAACTTATGCTTCTATGCCTTCTGCCCCACAGCTTAGCAGCAAACAGCAGAGATGTTGCAACAACTTACTAACAGCTGGTGTGAGCGCTACTAACACTTGCAAAGCAGCTCTAAGGGGAGAGGATAGAGAAAAGATGAGCACCACTAAGTGATCCAGGATAGAATTTTTGCTATGTTGGTGAAATCTGCTCATTATTATTTCATATGCCCACCTATCCCCTATTCCTCTATCCACTGCATCTTTATATAGAGCAGGGGTACTTATGCAAAGTGCTTTATTCAACTGATCCCTGCTCCTTCTCTGAAAACAAGCTGCTATTATATCAAAGCAATACTGCTACAAGTACAAGAATGTAAGTCTGACTGGCTGGAGGGAATTATTTTCCCTCAGTTTGTGAGCAGTCTCTTCCATTTGCTGTCTGCCTGTTCATCTGTGAGGGAAATGTTGCTTTCCCATTCCCTCTTGAACACTAAGGGTTACCATCCTCTATCTGAGCAACCCACTCCATTTCCAAATCACATTAGGAGGCACAGGCTGCAAACATGCCACCTCCTAGGTGCCTTATTTAAATGTGTTAGTTATAAAATTAAAAAGTCAAAGAAAACACATGCTAGAATGTGCAGGATTACAGTTGGTGCTATAGCTGTTCTTTGATGCCTTACACTGTGTATGTACTATAAGGCAGTCCTTAATTAAGGGCTCACTCATTTTGTTTCCTACTGAGGACTTTCGCCTAATTCAGTGTACAGAATGCAAATGGTATGTTAACCTGCATCTACATAACAAATTTGTACCTTTAAAGACATCTCTTGTGAGGTGATATCAAGCCTGTGAAGGCGGGCCAGTGCCCTATGGATGAAAAACAGATTAAACCGGGAAAAGGGGCCCCAGAAATTCTGTCTAAGATTCTTTGGTATTATAAAGTCTTCATTACTGTAGTTAGCTAGTGTAACCATTACTTAAGCAAAATACAACATTCACATTCATTTCAATTGCAATAAATACACAGGTTTCTGCAAAATAAATCACCGGGAGCTGATGGTGAAAACTGAAAAGATATGCTGTTACTAACAACTGTTTTAAGTAAAATTATTCATGTCACATAGGAACAGTTTCAGCAGCAGATACAAATTTTTCGCTGGGCAGAATTCAATGACTTACTCCTGTTTTGTGCCAACAGAATCTTTGGGGAATTCAGGCACCAAATCGTAACTACTGAGACTTTTTGGAGCATGTGCAAACTGTATCTAAGTCAAACGTGAGGGTGGGGTTTTTTCCCCTTTTTCTTTTTTCTTTAACAAAAATATGTAAAAGAGGCCATATGTGACACATAGGATATACATCTGCCAAACTCCAAGTTCCAGCTCTGAAGCATGAGGGTATTTGAAATTCTCAAAAGTCTACGCCAAGTGTCTGTTTCTGGCTGATTTGTTTGAGGGAAAGTTTGAGAGCAATAACAAAGATTTTTTTTAACCTGGGCCAATCAATATAATTTTGCCTAATCTCATTATTGAAAATTGCTGAGCCATCTTTTTAAACTTCCTCTACAAGATACAATGAAACAGATCGGCCTCATGCAAACATTCAGCATGGAAAGTTTCAGTCAGTGTGGTTAGAGCTTGGCAAAGCTAGCAGTCATGAAGACTGTGGACTACCAGCTTTCAGTGCAACGATCTAGAGAATTAGAAATGGTGGGGACCAATGTAGATTCTACAGCTGAGGAAATGGTGTCATAGGAGCGACCTGGCAGGACAAGCTATTTAATCTGTCCTGACATTTATTAACAACCTAAGGATTCTGTGAGGTAGTGATAGTAGCTGGGGTTTGGCCCTAAATCACTGGATAACTATTAAGACCAAGGCTGAATAGGAACCTCAGCATGTACATCTTTTACAAAACAATGCACCAGCACTACTTCATTGTGGAAAGTGAGATGCCAATTTTGGAGGGAAAGATAAAATACTTACCGGAAGTCCTGAAATGTCAGAATATTTCTTGGCAGGCTTAAAGGAAGGAGGAGCATCAATATTAAAATCTAGAGACAAACAAAGGGATAAACTCAGTGTTTTATGTATATTTTAATACATAAACCTAATTTCTGAGATCTCTATTAATTAGCAAGACCAAGGCAAAGAAATATGAAACCTCTGAAAACATTTAGCCTGTAATCACTGTAAATCACAGCCTGATCCTGCTCATCTCTCTAATAGAGTTCAGCAAGCAGAACTTCCCTCCCCAAAAGGAAAAATGCAAGACCTATTCAAATTGTGTTGATTTTTTCCAAGTCTTAACGAATTCCCCTACAGTCAGTCACATGCAAAGCATAGCCTTTATCATATTCATGTTATATGTTAAGATCATGAAACATTGCTCAAGATCGAAGCTCTGAAATACTGTAATCCACAAAAGGAAAGTAATCTTTTAAATCAGTTAAATCTTTAAGCATGTACCACTTTAAGCCCAGTCAGTGACCTAGAAAATTGTCTGAATGTTTAAATTAAGTGGTGGAAATTGCTGGTTTTTGGTGCCCTTTAGACGGCAACTGTCATTCATAAACATTTTTCAAGATACAGTTGGTATGTTTAAGCAGTTAAATCCCCAATTTTGGATGTTTACAAAAATATCTTGTACCTGACTCATTTCTTTGTTCTTTTATGATCTCATTTGCAACTTATTCAGATGCTATGATCAATTCAAATGCTCCCTTCACATCAGATTTTTAACATATCATCTCATAATTCAAAAGACCCTAATGCCACAGACAGCTAGTTTTAAATATGAAAGTGAATTTCTCCTTCCTCCTTTTTAAAAAAATCCTGTAAATTTATGGTTGCAAACAGAGCATAGTAGAAATAGCAACATCAGCAGATTGTCAGTTACAATAGCCAGGAACACACAGTAGTCTGCATTTTTCTTTAACAGTTGTGTCTAAAACACTTCAAAAAATGGCAAGCTATTTTTGGATAAAGTACCGCGTCTGACAAAAAGTATATGCATATGCTCAATTCTGAAATGCCTCCACTTGCTTAAGTAAAATCTGAGGATCCCATTCTGCCTCCAGCTAAGTTCAATAGTATCCTACTTTACAAGTAGACTTGAAGTAAATCTAGATTAAGACCACTGCTGTAACTCTGCTCCTGTGGATGTACACCAGCTAGGACTGCTAATCAGGACTGATAATAATGTAGTTTCAGCTGTGCTGTACTAAAGAGGGGATGTAGGATTTAAATCTCCCAAGAATCTAGGATAAGGGGCTAGGTAGGAAGCTTGGGCTAAGGTCTAAGCTTCTGCAGGTATGTGGCTTAGCAGAATCAATTTGAAAATAGTTCAAATATAGCTAATCGAATAGCAGCCACCCACCAGAAGACCTCTGGGCTGTATGCAGAGGAAGGGCAGGCTCCTAATCAGTGAAGAGGTGACAAAAACCTGATGGGAATAAGGGTTTCTGACCTGGTTTGGATAAATATATTTCCTTTATTAAACTCTCTCTCCAAATGTATTTGAACTTTGTCGTGATACTCTAAATTATTTGCTTTCCCCTGATTTCCGCTTGGGGCTCACCATTGTGATTGGACTAGTCTTAAATATAGTACTGACCCCTGTTCAAGCAGGATATGGCATGCACTGATGAAATAATTTAGATTTGTTTTAAAGAAAGTTATTTGTGAGGATTCTATTATTTATAAATACATGCGAAGCGTCTAAGCAGCTTACAGCTAGGATCATTTAGTTGCCATGGCAATGCCCTTTCAGAAGCAAGAATTTGTTTTAGGTTCTTCCAAGTTCTGTTCTTCTTGCCAGCTGCTGCTCCACCAATGCCGGAGTGCTAGAATTAAAAATATGGTGTTTAGAGAAAAAAATAAACAAAGAATACTAATAACACTTCTATTTCATAGTCTTTCTGATACGTCTCATCTTGTCATGAACCATTTGTTATCCTCACTTATTTCATCAGTAGGATAATATACTGTACACTTTAATCTTGGCTGCAAGAAAAACAAAGCTTTTTGGACTGTGTCAAAGCTTCTATGTTTTTGATTAAATGAGGGAAATTAAAATCTGCTCTTCACATGGAAATAGAAAATCAATGTGGTTAGGTTTAGCCAGAGATTACAGGATTCTGTACGTACTCCCTTCGTATTAGAACTTATTACTATGAAGCTGTGTCTGAAATTGTGATTACACAGCTAAATTTCCTCTCTCCTTTTTATGGCATATTACAGGTGAAACTCTAGCTCTTTTATAAATTATCCATGACTGCAGCAAACACAACTGATCTTGCAAAATGTAATAAATACTATGAGAAACTTTCTGGAAATTTTATTTTTCTTTCAAAGGAAAAAAGACAGGATAATAGAAAAAGAATAATAAATAGAATGTTGGCTGCCAAGACAATTTTGCATTTTGAAAGGTACATTAATGGAAGGCTTGTCACAGGTACTATAATGGTATTTTCAGTTATCAAATGTGATTGCTAAAGACTAATTTATTTATGTCCCTCCAGAGACAGAAGCTGCGCAACACACTGTAATACTTCTAAATGATCAAAGGACACAGATTTATAGCTCTATGTCAGAAAAGAAAATGTTCTTACAATTGGGGAGTTGTTATTTCTGTTAATAATTACTACCTGCCACATGAGTCTCACAGAAACTCAGCAAAGTTCCACAAACAGTCTTCTGCTGTGAATGGTTTCTAAATAAACCTGTTAAATTGATGAGAATCATAGGAGGAAAGATTCAATGAGAAAGCTTTTTTTGTAGACATAAGATATATTAAGATAAGATATATGACCTGAGCTACTTCTGCACTAGTGAAGTTCAGAGAAAGCTGGAGCTAGGACAGGTGGAGCTACTGCTCTATAGCAGATATTGCTCTATACAACTGTCAGAAAGTCTTCTTCCCCTTCCCCATTGCCAAGGGATGTAAATTCCACTCAGAAAGTTTAGGAAAAGGTAATTTCTTCCTTATTCTATGCTCTTAAGTATATCCTCTGCTGTGAGGTAATGGTTCAAACTTTGGCATATGTATGAGAGATAGACACTATTTGATTTATTTTCTTCCTTTTAATGCAAATTAGGTGAAAGGATGCAAAAAGTCATCCAAATTGTTACTACTAGGTCATACCAATGAAATACTAGCTAAAACTCAATGCATTTCTTCTCAAATTAGTAATTGTATTGGAGAGGACAATTTCAGATTCTTTATTATAACTGCCTATTATTTCTACAGCAGTTGCCAAAGGCCCTGTACATTCATTATTATGTTAAGCATGCAGACATTAGTATTGCCCCTTTGGAAATAGTGACATTCTCTAAGAACTGAAGGATCAGTGCAAGGCCTCTTGGTTATTTAAATCCTATATGGAAGCTACATGGAATGCCTCTGGGCACAGAAGGAGCTTTTCCAATAAGCCTCATTTCTCAAAGATGCTGGTGCTTGCTGGAGGATTAGTGAGTAAACTATACAGTCGTTTGAATGCCCCACTCATGACAGAAGTAGTCTGCAAAGCAGATATAGAGTGACTTGCATGTCAGAGGTAAATTTTATACCCCCTGCCAAACCTGTACTTAGTCAGCTGTGCGATGCCCAATTACCCAGGGTTTATGCTGTGAGATATTGTATCTTATTCATACAGAATGAAATCTGTGATAAAATCCTTCTTTCTAAGTACTGGCTTAGGACCAGCAGTCTGAGAAGTTTGCTTGTCTAGAAAGCATTTGTACAGTGTGCCAATGAGTTAGCTGGCTTTGGCACAGCAAGATAAAAAGATATTAAAAACAAACTAGCAGTGACAGCATTACTAGCTGTAATCTTCCTTCACCTTCTCCCCCAGTTTAAACCTCAGAGTGTTTAGGAGCCTGCATTTCATCAGCTGTCAGCATTTACATGACTGAATGCCGGCAGGCCAGTCTTCTGGCATTTGCTTCTAAATCTAGCAATGACGGGAAGAAGACACTACAAGTCTGTTAAGAGTTTCAGGGACCAGAAGAGGAGCAAATGCCATTCACCACTGACTCTCTGGCTGATTTCTAGTTCAATTGCTTTGCAGCCTGCCTTGGCTGGGAACTGGAACATGGGATTCCTACCTTTCACAGCGGTGTTAATTGCTCCTCTCTAACTTTGGTAGTTTGTGAGACACCACATCATAAAACTTCCACACTTACCTGGATCTAGCAGGTTTTCTGACTCCATTCCAGAATTTAATATAGCTGTTCTGTCTCTGGACCAGTGCCATTTTCACGTTATAATATAGTCTTTGGACCATAGAATTGAGGTAAATTTCTTAAAAACTGTCAACCTTTTATTTGGCTGTTAAGCTGATTTTGTTAATATTTACATTAGGAATACAGTTACTGGAATCTTAGTTAATGTTTTATGGGAAAAGTTTAGAATTTCAAATTGTTAAAATAATATACTTACGATGAAGTTTGGATCTTTGAATGGTAAGGGCTTGACGGTAGTTTCCACTGATCCTGTGCTGGAGTCTGTGTTCAGAAATTTATTTTCATTCATGGCCTCTCCCCCTGCACCCTGCAGAAAAAATACAATCTTACTGCTTGTTACTCTGAGCAAGTTTAACTGGAGATGGAGCCGTCTGCTGTATTACCTACCTGTTGCCTTTTTAGCCTTCCTATGTCTTTTGAATCTTTAAAGATGTTGCAGGCCAAGAGTGGGGAAGCATGAAACAGAGCATTTATCAAGCAATTTACAACTGACACATAAAGGGGAGGAAGGGGATAGAGTGGCCAAAGCCCACTGAGTAAAAAACGCATTCAGTTTACTTCAGTATTAATGAAAGCCATCTCTATATAAAGTGCAAGATGGCATGTGCAACCCGAAACAGCAGAAATGTACACTGGATCTATTTCAGAATGTTCTGTATAAAGTATTAATAGGAATATATAAAATTTATAAAAAGTTTTTTCTCAAGATTCTAGAGAAAAATTGATCAATCATTTTATACTTCATCCTTGGCTTCAACTGTGCCTGAGTGAGGACTGAGAGAAAAAGTATATTATTACATATTATTTTTATATACAAGCCTCACAAAATCTACCTGTGTGCTATAGGGTTTTCCAGGCTTCTTTTATGGTTTATTTATTTAGCAGGAAGAGCAGTTGGAGAAGGTGTGTGTGTGACTGGAAAGCTAAAAAAGTTGTGCGGTGTTCTAACCAATTTCTGATAGTTCTGCACGGCTGAGTTTGAGTTTTTCTTTTATTTTGTCAGTGACCTGTAAGTCTCCGCACTACTAGAACTAGCCCATGCTACATACATACATGTTTCTTTCGAAATCCTCATCTATAGGGAAGCCAATGAGAATTTTGTCTCTGAGTTTGGCATTTTAGTCAATAGGATATCATATTTTGATTTTTTTTTCACTTGGAGAACAAAAAGCTTGGCTAAAAGCTAAGTCAAAATTTACTGAATGGGTGGTTAAAATGCTCCTTTATGTTACCTTCAGACAGATAATACTTAAAACAAAAAATATTTTCCTGTAAAAACCTGTGTTCAAAACCTTTTGTGTTGGTACAATACTCATTTAAGTAGGAGAAAAAAGGATCATTATTATTGTGATTTATGGGAGTACTTCTAGACACTGAGACTATATAGCAAAGGCCATGATTCATCATGTCCTTCTCCAAGTGATTACAAGGGAAGTGTTTTTACTCTTAACTACATGCATAAGTAATTACAGGATTAGGAACTAGGCAAGTTGAACTCTTCTTTGGGAAAATACTTCAATGATTCTGCAGTGCCTGTTTTTAACACAGCAAAGAAAGATCTTAAACATTGAAAGTATCGTATAAAACAAATGTTTCTAGTGCCTTATTCAAATAAAATATATTAATAGAAATAATCTATTTTCAAAACAATAGTCAGTCCTCTGTAAGTAGGGGGATACTGCCATAATAATATCAGTGGAAGCAAACTGAAGTCTGTACCTTAAACTTGATTCTTCCCTTAAGAGAACAGACAACATTAAAAGGCAGTCAGTGACTGTCAGAGAAACAGAAGAAACGCAGATGGATATTTAGAAACACATACATTATGTGGCAGTGAGCAGAGAAAATACCTTAATAACTCCTGAATAAAGTGGCTTTATACAATGAGTTTCTAGGTTTCAAAGTATATTCTTGCACATGCATGCTTCCAGCACTTCAGATTTCAGCAGCAAACGTTAGTCAGTCTTAAGAAAGACAAGGCCTGAGATACAAGATACTTCGGATGAATTAATTATCTCTGATACTGCTCATTATCAGTGTAAATTCTCTAAGTGGAGGAATCAGCACTCACAGTTATTCTTCAAAGCATTCTTGCCTCTTCTTTGGTACCATCTGGTCTGTGTTAAATCCAATCCCACAGATAATTACTTTATCACTTTTGTCCCTTCAGTGATCTTCTCCTAAGTATTCTGGTTTTTATGAAACAGGCTTTGAGTAGCATTTCATCCATATCTCAAAACAGTAACTAATATAGTGAGACAGAGCAAATAAAAACAGTTAAATAGTAAAAGAAACTTCCTTACACATATAGTCCTTAATTTCTGTAGCTGGATATACTTACATACTACACTGTGTGGATTCAGTGATAATCTTGCTAGTGCATTGGGAAGGAAAGTAAGGAATTCTTCCTGGCAGGAAAATTCCTCAATGTAAATTCTATATGTCATTTCTTTTTCGGACCAACTCCTAAGGGATTTCAGGTATTAGTGCTGCTAAGAGTTGGGCTAACTCTCATTACAGGCCAGATGTGATTTTGTTTTTGCCGGTATCCCTTGCACAGTGGCAGAGGCAGCAGGATCTGGAGCAACAACTTCTGCTTTTTTAGGTCATAAGGACACTCAAGTCATACTCCAGTCCCAGTGAGAAACAATGCCAGCAGTAGCTTCTGGATGTGTCATGGACAATATGAGAGCAGAGGTTTCCTCTTCAAGGCAAAGGGTGCAGGCCTGTGTGCATACCTGATTTCAGAGCCCTGTGATAGACTGGGAAGCAAATAAGACTGAGTACTATGATACCAGTTAATGCTGGGAATTGAGATAAAGACATACTGTAGGGCCATGCCAGTTCCCTCACTCAACATTGCTTGTATGAAAACTCTGATTTTTAGCAGTGGCACTATGGAAGAGACACACCCACCTAACATGCTTTTCTTTCTGGAAAAAGCATTAAAGAGTTGAGAAGAAGCACTGCTTCCAGAATAATGTGCTACTGCACAGAGCCATGAACTCCGCCAACTACAGAGCTTTGAAATGCTCTTTCCATGCAGCCTGCAGAAGTCTCAGCTGATATCCTCTGCAGCTTTATAGCCACAAACTGCAAGTGTCTCCAGAATCTACAAATCTGTCCAGCCCATGTTTTAAATGCCAGGATTTAAAGCATAGGAAACATCATGTAATGCTTCAGGACTTTTTTTCGAATGTGTTTTTAAAGTCAGGGGATATGGATCTATCTTTGTACTGCAAAACTCACATTTCCTGAAAGTGAATAATACAGTGATAAAACAAACCATTATTTACAGCCTGATGAAAGATTCCTCAGTGAACAATTACTGCACAGTAAAGGTAATCTTTAACTTTTAACATCAGTTGAACAAATCTCTCCCAAATGTGCTTGTTTTCTTGGTCATCCAGATTGGAAGACAGTACATTCTTCACTGTCATGTGCTGGGACAAACAAACAGAAAGAATTCAAGTCCCCTTTGTAGTCCTGTGAAGTGATGGTGGTCTCACGAGCACAGTGAGGAAGTGCCTGTCACCAGCGAACACACACTACTCAATGTGTGCCGTAACCCCCAGTCACACGGGGGGCAACTTCCCCTTCCTGCCCATTTCACAGCCAATCCCCAGAACATTTGGCCTACCCAGCCAGTCTCTTAGCTAACTCTGTCACCCCCAGAGTTCTAGGATAATCCCAAATGCTTTGCTGTGGGGCTAGAAAGAAGGTGTAATCATGTGCTGAAACTCTCAAAAGCTTCTTTAAAGCTTCTTTTTAACTGATCTTGTAAACAGTCTTTATGGAGAATTCAATATACACTTCAAGGAGAGAGCAGCTTTTAACGTGCACTTTATAACTAAATTGTGTCTCTTAAATGGTGGTTTATGTAACTAGAGCTACAGGGAATTTGTGCTACATTAGTCACTAAGCAGTATATGTTTTCCTCCATAGTCTGTTGAAGATTATAGCAACAAAGTCTTTGGAGCGGCTTTACATTTACAGGGTACACCTGCATGGGAAAATGATTTCAGTACAGCTGAACATACTTATGCTAGTTTTACCTCAGGTAATGATAAAAACACTGCAGTAAAGACTTCATCTAAGCCATCAGTAACTATGTTCATCGTCTCCCATCAACTCTTGCTCTGGCTGTTAATCCTCACTGAAGTCCATGCTGCCACATCTTCTCACGTTACCCCTCTCTGTTCTCCTCCTCTTCCTCCTCCCAGTATCCCCCAGGCATAGAGCAACCTTGACTGGAATAGTATGTATTAAAAATCATAGGCAGCGGGTCAATTACAGGCTTCTTACAGCGCCACTTGTGCAATTTTATTCCCTCTGTAAAGTTGTGTTTATGTGCTTTAGTTGAATTTTAACTACAACCACAGGATGACAGGTTGGCAATCCCTATCGCCTTGGACAGATGAGAGCAATAGCGAGGGGGTCAGATTCTATTCTGCATTTCTTTTCACGAGACCATCTATCGAGTATCCAGTGCATCCCTGCAGGATGGAACACTGCCCTGCCTGGTATGTACAAGGACTGGGTGAGTCACCCAAGGGAGGAAGCTGACTGAGGACTTCACTTGGTTGATAGCAAGAATTTGACAGTGAAAACCTTCAGCAAACACTTGGGAGTCCCAATAAGTTGGTTGTAAGAGCAGCCAAGCCTGGGGAAGAGACCTGAGTTAAGCTTTGCTACCTTTACACTGGTTTCTTTTGAGTAAAGCCAAACCCCAGGAATGAGCCTAGTTTGGACCCTGCTGTTTCTGCTGTGGGAGAAACCACACTGGGAGGCTGCCTATTCATATACTACTTTCAATATTGGGTTTTGGTAGATCTATTAATTTTTTAATATATTTCGTTCCAAATTCCCTACTGCAGATGTTTTAACATGATTTCCAAAGAGTGCTCCATCCGTCTGGTTTTATTTAGAGAGAGAACAAGCAAAACTTGTAGACCACAGAAGCTGAATTCTTTGTTTTGGCTATTTCTAGGTGGAATCAGCATTGTGGGGTTTAGGATGGGTGTCCGTGATGGGGCTAAATACCAGGTGGATTAGCTTATTATGAAAGTGCTTGTTTGACTCATGATTTTTTTTTTTTTTACCCAGCAAGGATTAAAACTGTGCAGTATATCCTGAAGTATCATTTCTTACTTATTTCTGTTTTGATTATATTCTGTAAGAAGTTTTTTTTATTATTTTAGACTAATAGGATTTTATGAAGTATAAAAAAACCCTTAAAAATATGAAATAAAAAGTCAAAGACATAAATATGTGCATTTCTGGCATCCTATCACCGCATACCATGCA